CGTTTGATTCATCGAGAAAAAAAAAGAAAGATGAAAGAACTTGCCTGGGGAATGTTAGAGAACTTGGTAAACAGATCTTCCGGTATGGACCAGTCAAAAACATCAAGATTCTCCTTGAGCCGAGCCCCGCTCGAGCTCTTTGGTAGAACACTATGACCAGTTTGGAGTCCCCAACGGAGAGCCACTTGGGCGGTGGTCTTTCCAAGTTTCTCAGCAACCTCGGTAACAATCGGGTTTTGAAGAACCTTTAGCCTGACTTCTCCCTTACTTTGGGAACCCAAAGGAGAGTAACCCTATCATCAATCCAAAACAGATGAAAAGGCATCTTCGTTAATTCATACTTGCAAAAACAGAGTAAATTTTGGAATTTGTAAGTATACTCACAGATAAGTGAACTCCTTTGGATTTGCATAACTCATGAAGACCTTGTTGCTGCCAAACTGGGTGACATTCAACTTGGTTAACAGCCGGGGTTACACGTGCCACGTTAAGAAGATCTGTAAGCTTCTTCGACGAGAAATTGCTTACACCGATTGCTCGAGCTTTTCCAGAGTCATAGAGAGCTTCCATTGCTTTCCATGTGCTAGTTATATCAGGTTTTGTGAGCATCTCAGGTGTTGGCATTAGTGATTCCTTCTTCAAGCTCGCAGGCCAATGTATCTTCAACAAAAGCAAAAACACATCAAAATGGAAAAAATTACACGTAAACAAGATTCATTTGCTATAAGTTATGTACCAGATATAAATCAACATAGTCAATCTGTAAGTCCTGTAACGTTTTTTCCAGTGCCTTAGGCACATCTTCAGGTAAATGATCATTGCTCCTACAGAACAAAACAAAAAACATGAACATGTGTGTGTGTGTGCAGTGCAGACCAGAGAGAATCTTGGTAGAAACAGAACACCAACCAGAGTTTGGAAGTGATAAATAACTCCTCACGCTTCACAAAACCATCACCTATCAGCTTCTTCAACACACCACCAATCTAATAAATGGAAATCAATCATAGTGTGAGAACAACGAAAATAGGAAGAAAGCAGAACACATTTAGTTCCCACAAACTAAACATTCATATACCTTTTTCATTAGAAGCATCATACCAAAAAAAAAACTCTTTCATTAGAAGCATAGAGGCTACACTTACTGTGAGATTCTTGTTCCACCATGACCCTCAAAAACTATAATAAATATACACTCTTGTAGAGAATACATTTGATGACCAGTCAAATGACATCTATGGTTAAAGAGAGATAAATTAAAATATATTGTAGATAGCAAATTTACCTCTTTCTCGTTTCCGTAAATCGAAGCACAGTCGATATGCCTGTAACCAATCTAAAATAATCGACAAGAAAAGTGTCAAAGTTAAATTTTATATCCAATGGCATAATAATAAGGTCGAAGTTTGATCCGAAGGTGATACCTTAATCGCCTGTTCGATCGCTGTCGCGACCATTGCGTAGGTTCCTAGACCGACGCAAGGTAACTTGGCACCAGTGTTCAGTTCAAAGAATCGAATCGGAGCTGCCATCTCTTAAAAGTTTTCTGGATAATTCTATTGAAAGAAGAAAACTGAGAGAAGGTGATGAATATGCAAAAAAAAAACTAGATGCAGAAGAAAAGAAACATACGTAACTCGGAGAAATAGCACTTTGTTTCTTCCGCATAAAATGCTAAAAATCGTATGGCCACTAAAGGCGTTTTCTTTATAGTCAATTGTGCGTATTCATTTTCTTTTGCAGTGTGCACATAACATAATTATGGCATTTATTTCTAAAAGTGATGTACTGTCAAAGTCTTAAACAAATAGAAATTGGTTTGTTCTTTTTTTTTTTTGTTAGTTGGTTTCATTATTAACATTAGTGAAAAATATCAATTTACTTAAAAGTTTGATATTATGTCATTTTTGCATATTAATACCAAAACTAGGAAATTGTAACGTAATTAACCTGTTTTACAACCTATATACCATGAAAACATTAACTAAACATTTCATACAATTGTTCTCGAATAAACTAAATATATTCATAGAAACTTTATACAATTAAAAGAAAACACACAATTGACAAATCAAAAGCCACGAGACCACCCTTTTGGGTTAAAGTCTACGCTTAGAGAAATCAATTTTCCAAACCGAATTATACATCA